GGAGCAGGGGTTCTGTGGAAGAGGGCCCCCCGAGCGTCCCTAGCTTCTGCAGAAGACAGTGGGCTTCTCAGGAAAGAGCAGCCTGTATGCACCGCCGGAAGAGAGCTAGACTTCACTCACTCACTCCGGGAGGGCACGAGCTGTGTGACTCATCGCCCTGTCCTGCTGCTCCCTCTGGCACGGCGCTGGGCAGCGTGGAGCCTGGGAGCATGGGTGGAGTCCCAGCCCAATCCCGGCCCCAGAGGAGATCCCAGGCAGGCAATCACAATTCAGCACGTAGGGACAGGGAGGGTGGGGGGAGCACAGACGAGGAAGCAACTCAGCATCTAAGGAGTCCGGGCAGGCCTCCCAGAGGAGGTGACATCATCCATAAGATGAATGGAATTGGCCAGGGCAGCGCCGGGGGGGTGAGGAGAAGGGGAACCCTCCTGGGCTGAGGAAGAAGCAGATGCAAAGGCGCGGAAGTGTCTGCAAGGTGCTGGCACAGGGCCCGCCGCCTGGTAAGTGCTTTATACATGGAAGGCATTATCGCTGTGGCATGCTTGACTTATCATGATGGTGATGATGATTAACCTGAGCTCGTTACTTACTAATATTCCTATCTTAAAGCTAGTTACTACAAGGAATAAATGCCTAGCATCGCTAAGCTTTTCTCAGCTCTAACAGGCACTGTTGGGAAGTGGAGGGGTGCAGCATACAGAGTGCTCAGGGGAGTGGCTGTGAGCATGTTATGAGGTTGGGGTGTCCCTGAGGCGGGGGGCGGGCACCAGAGGAGGGGAACAGCTTCGGGACAGAACTGGAAATGTGTGCTCCCTCCCCCGGGGGGTCTGTGGCCGCCAGGAACAATGTGGAGAGGGATGCGGAGGAGAGAGCTGTGAGACTTTCAGCTCTGCCAGCTCCAGGACCTGGCAGTGATTTCGCCTTTCTGAATCTCTGAGAGTCCATTCCCTCAGCCCTACATCTGCATTAAGATAAGCATGCTCTTTGTAACAGTAAAAAAAAAAAAAAAAATCCTATAAACAGCAACTAATAACACATTAATGGATAAATACTCAATGGTATATTCCACAATGGAATAATATTCAATAATAAATATAAAAAGCAATGCTGCTCTGGCCAGGTAGGTCAGTGGTCGGCAAACTTCGGCTCCCAAGCCACATGCAGCTCTTTGGCCCCTTGAGTTTTTAGCAAAGGCCAGCTTAGGAGTACCCTAATTAAGTTAATATCTATGTATCTACCTATATAGTTTAAGTTCCAGTCAAAGGCATGTACCTTGGTTGCGGGTACATCCCCAGTAGGGGGTGTGCAGGAGGCAGCTGATTGGTGTTTCTCTCTCATCGATGCTTCTAACTCTCTCTCCTTCCTTTCTGTAAAAAATCAATAAAATATATATTTAAAAATTAAAAAAATAATTTATTAAAAATAAAAAATTTGGCTCTCAAAAGAAATTTCAGCCGAAACCGGTTTGGCTCAATGGATAGAGCATCAGCCGGCGGACTGGAGGGTCCCAGGTTTGATTCTGGTCAGGGGCATGTGGCCTGATTGCGGGCACATTCCCAGTGGGGGGTGTGCAGGAGGCAGCTGGTTGATGTTTCTCTCTCATCGACGTTTCTAACTCTCTATCCCTCTCAATTCCTCTCTGTGTAAAATCAATAAAATATATTTTAAAAAAAGAAAAAAGAAAAAAAAATTCAATCGAACTGTTGATATTTGGCTCTGTTGACTAATGAGTTTGCGGACCACTGCACTTGCACAAAGTTAAAAAAAAAAAAAAAAAAAAAAGCAAAACTAAACAATATATTATTTAGGGATTCATACAAAAATGGTAAAACTTAAAACATCAAAGAAATTGCCCTAGCTGGTTTGGCTCAGGGGATAGAGCTTCGACCTGCGAACTCAAGGGTCCCAGGTTCAATTCCAGTCAAGGACACATGCCCCCAACATGGAGGTAGCCAATCAATGATTCTCTTTCATCACTGATGTTTCTATCTCTCTCTCCCTTCCTCTCTGAAATCAATAAACATCAAAGAAATTATTAGCACAATTAGAACAAAATTCAGGAAAGTGGCTGTTTAAGATGAGGGTACAAGGTTGTAATGGAGGCACACAGTGAGCCTCAAAGGTTCTGGCACAGGTCTGTATTTTAAGTTAGGTTGTAGGTACATGGGTGTTTTATTATTATTACCCATTAAGTTACACATGTATAGGGTAAATGGTGTCTTTTACAAGAAACTATTTTTTATTACAAAATTAATAACATGTAACCTTACAGGACACATTCCTACAATAAGGCAGAGAAAATATAAGAAAAGTACTGGCTCACACAGGAAACTCACTATTGAGTACTTGGCTCCCCGGGACTCAATCTCCCCATCTGCAAAGTGAGCTGGTGGCGCTTCGGACTGGTCCTCTAGCTTGTGGGTTCCGTGTTCCCTTAGTTCACACACACACAGTTGGAGGCAGGTTCCAGGCCTTACTCCCCCAGAAGAGTCTCCCCTCTGTTCTAACGCCACTTTGTGTTCTAACGCCACTTCTTCAAAATAGACTCGCCCAGGCCGAAAACTGACTTCTGCGCCTGGGCCACTAAATTTCAATCGCACTGTACATGCGGGCCCACATGTGGTATTTTGTGGAAGAGCCACACTCAAGGAGCAAAAGAGCCCCATGTGGCTCGCAAGCCGAGGTTTGCTGACCACTGGCTTAGATGGCAAAGATGGCATCTGCTGCCCTGGACGGGGAGCTTTAGGTCCTGGTTCCCTCTTTCCAGCCAGGACATGAATTTCTCTAGGGCTGGGGTCGGCAAACTGTGGCTCTCGAGCCACATGCGGCTCTTTGGCCCCTTGAGTGTGGCTCTTCCACAAAATACCACGGCCTGGGTGAGTCTATTTTGAACAAGTGGCGTTAGAAATTGTTTTTTATTAATATATTTTATTGATTTTTTTATAGAGAGGGATAGAGAGAAACATCGATGAGAGAATCATCGATCAGCTGCCTCCTGCACACCCCCTACTGGGGATGTGCCCGCAACCAAGGTGCATGCCCTTGACCGAAATCGAACCTGGGACCTTTCAGTCCGCAGGCCGCCGCTCTATCCTCTGAGCCAAACCGGTTTCGGCAGAAGTTGTTTTAAGTTTTTAAAATTAGGTTCTCAAAAGAAATTTCTATCGTTATACCGTTGATATGTGGCTCTGTTGTTGACTACTGAGTTTGCCGGCCACTGCTCTGGGTAAAAGGGCCATGATAGCCTCGGCCTCCCTTGGCTAAGCCCAAGGGTAGATACTATAAAGTGCTGTGCTCCCTGTGGGATCCAGCCTAGCTGGTCTGGGAACCTAGACGCATCCTCTGGAGGCCCGGGTGGCCTGGGTTCGAGCTGTGTGGGAGTCAGCATTCCGTGCACATTCACAGGGTGACAGGGGTCCGTGCGCCTCCGCCGCCGGCTTCTCCCCTGTCACCGCGGACGGACCTGCAGGTCGCGCCTGCCGTTCTCTCCGGTGCGGTCTCTGTCTCAGGCCCTGAGTGCGGCCCCGCCTGTGGGTGCTGCTCCTCGGGGTACCTGTGGAGTGCTCCCGCCTTTACCACCACGAACCTCCCTCCCGTGGCGCGGGGAGCAGACTCTGGGCCTGAGTCCCTCCGTGCGCCCCCGGCTGCGCCTTCAGCGCTGGGGCCGGACCTGCGGGCGTCGGGGGGACGTGGCTGCACCTGTCCTTCTCCGACTCAGCGCGCTGCCTCCGCCTGCGCTCACCTCCGCGGGTCGTGCCCTCCTGCCCGCTCCGTCTGTGCGCCGCCGGGGCCCGGAGACCCGCGGACCGGGCTGCCTCGACGCCCCCCGACGCCCCCAGCCCCATCCCGGCCGCGCGGGGGGCGGGGGGCGGGGAGCGCGGCCGCGGCGGCGGAGCCGGGGGCGGGGCGAGGCGGGGCGGCGCGGGGCGGAGCAGGAAGGGGCGGTGGCCGACTCGCTCCTCGCCTACAGGGCTTCCGCGTCTGGGTCCTTAACTCAACCCGCCCGCCGCCCGCCCACCGGCCTATAAAGGCGCCGCCGGCCTCGCCCCTGGGACTCGGACCCATGGAGACGCCGCCGGCAGCCCTGGATGCGCGGCGGGGTGAGTGGTGCGCGGTGGGCCGGGGCGCGGGGCGCGGACAGGGGAGGGGGCGGGAAGGGCTTCCCTTGAACCAACCGGTCCGGGAGGCACGTGGGGCTGGTCCCCTCCGGCCTCGAGGGTTCTCGGGACCCCCTCCAACTTAGCCTAAGTTGGGGGAGCCTAGGGGAAGGGAGGCCAAGCTCCCGAGAGAGCGGGGAGCATGGGGAGCTCGGGGCCCGGGACCGCGTCACCGAGCCCGGCGGCCAACCAGTTTCCCGGCAACTTTTCCGGCCGGTGGGTCTGCCCGGAAAGTTCTCCCCCGGCCGGTGAGCGCGGCCGCGGGCTCTGCGCCTCTGGGGCCTGGCGCCGAGCGTGGGGTTAGGCGGGCGTGGGGCGAAGGCCTCAGCGGGGAAGCCCCTGCCCCCTCACCCTCACCCCCAGCTCCGTTCCAACCCCGGGTTTCCATCCGAGCGCCCCGCCCCGCAGCTGTGGGGGCGCGGCGAGGGCCTCTGAGCAGGCCTCCCAGGACCTCTGGGTCCCTTGGGTTGGTGTGGGGCTGAGCTTGGGATAGGAGGTGGAGTCAGACTGTCTAAGTTCACATACTTGCGACACCAGCCTACCAGGCGGATGACCTTGAGCCAGTGCTTCGTGTCTGTGGCTCATTTTCATCCTTGGGAATGGTGACCCCGAGCTGAGCCGGAGAGCTTTGAGAGGATTGCCAGATGTGTGCAGAGTGCCGCCCAGTGTTGCCTCCTGATGTTGGGTGGGGCGGGGCCAGAGGGGTGGGGGGTGGAAGAGAGCCATCCCCCATCCCTAACCCCGGTGGTTCTCCTCCCAGGAGCTGTGACGGGTGCCCTCCACCAGTCTGATCTGTGAGTGGCCGGTGGAGAGAGAGGCCCACCCAGGAGCCAGCCCCCCACCATGAGTCTGTGGGATCCTGAAGACAGTCCCAGCTGCCACGTTACCCCCAGGTCAGCCCAGGAGCCCCCCGAGGAGGAGGCCTCTGCTGCCGAGCTGCAGATGAAGGTGGACTTCTTCCGGAAGCTGGGCTACTCCTCCGGGGAGATCCACAGCGTCCTGCAGAAGCTGGGCGTCCACGCCGACACCAACACCGTGCTGGGCGAGCTGGTGAAGCACGGGTCGGCCGCGGAGCGGGAGCGCCAGGCCTCGCCGGACCCCTGTCCTCAGCCTCCTCTGGTCCCCCGGGGTGGGGGCCCCGCCAAGGCTCCCACGCTGGAGCCCTCGTCCCTGGAGGAGGACAAGGAGGGCAGCGACCTGAGGCCCGTGGTCATCGACGGGAGCAATGTGGCCATGAGGTATGTGTCACTTCTGTGGCCGCGACGTGGCTGGGAATGGTGGCCCGGTGTCCGCCTGTCTGGTAGAGGGGCCTTCGGGAAAGAGTGTGGCTTCTTCTCACATATGAGTCTAAAGGAAAGGAAAGGCCCTACTGTGTGTCAGGAGGCTCCCCTAATCCTCAAGGCCTCCTGGAAGTGGATTTGCTAGGAATGTTTCAGGGGTGAGAACAGAGGCTCAGAGACCTGCTCAGGGGTCACACTCCTGGGGAGCAGTGGAGCACAGATTCGAACTCGGGGTCCTCTGTCTCCAGAGCTCACCTTGTGCCCTTGGCCTTCCTGAGGGCTAGCACTCATCCAAGTTCCTCTCCCGTGACTTGAGGCCGGGCGGAGGAAGGACTAAGACCGGCTGCAGCTCAGGAAGGGCCTGGGGTCATTTAGGGCTAAGCCAGCGCCAGGTGCTGGCTGGAAGGAGTCAAACCTAGAGAGAGGAGCTCTCAGGAAGCAGCAGCAGTTGACTGTCCAGGGTCTGGGCTCCCGTGGAAGCCATGGAGGCTTTGGCTTCAGGTGAGCTGTGCTATTTGGGTCCATTCTGATTCAGCTAGAGCCGCCTGGGCTGGCCTGGGCTCTGGGGTCTCCCTGAGGCCAGAGCCAGGACTCAACACCAGTACTCCTCCCTCCTTCCCCTCCACAGGCTTTAACAGGGAGAGGGATGGGCTGGGGCCAGGGTGGCCTCTGGCGTGCTTTTTCCAGTCTCTCCAATAAGGAAAAGTACCAATGGGTATGGGTGGGCTACTGGCTGCGCGTAGGGACCTCCCAGGTGATTGCCTGAGGCCTCCATGCCCAGCTGGGTCAAGTCCGCTGTCTGGCTGGTCCTGGCCCACCTTAGCCATCTTTAGATCAGTCTCCCCACCTCTGAAATGGGTAGGAGTTTGGGTAAAGCTGGCTCCCACATGCCAGAGGCAGCTGATCGCAGCATGTGCTTTGAAAGCCAGAGGTCCCCTCTCGGGCTCCATCAGCATGTGGCTGGATAGGTCTGTGGCTCCTTCCCCTGGAAGCCTGGGCCCAGTGCTGAGCCCGGAGCAGCCATGTGCTGCGTGTTTGTATCCTGGCTGAAGAAGGTGGGGCCTGGGAGAGAGGGAGGAGGGCCAGAGCGGGGAGGGCTGGCTTGAGGAGCTGTCTGGAGGGGCCGAGCCATCGGGGGTTTCTGAGCTGAGGCTGTAGCCGGAGGGGAATTCCAGCCTCAGACTTCCTGTCTCAGCTGTTTCTGGGTTCCTGCCCTGCTGCCCCCTCCCCCACAGGGGCAGATGGGCCAGCCCACACCGTATGCAAATCGTGGGGAAATTCACCTCTGTTTCCTTCTAAGGGAATTTTTCTCTAGCCGGGCCCAGCCCTGGCAGATCTTTTCACCTGGGTAGCCTGGCCTGACCCAGCCCTCTGTCCTGGGGTGGGAGCCTCTGACCAGGGTCTCGTTAACCGGGCCGAGGGGCTCTGAGCTTCTGGGCAAACAGGACTGCGGTGGGGGTGGGAGGGTATCAGGTTTTCCTGTGCCGACAGAGCTTCCTCCATTGCAATGGGAGGGCTGTCTGGGAGGTTCCGCTTCTGCCCAGGGTAGCGCTCTGACCACCTGCCCAAGGGGCCTTCTGAAGACGAGGGCTAGAGGTAAGAGACAGAACCTGAACCCGTGTCGGAGGCCCCTGAATTGCCTTCCTGTCCCCCAACAGCAAGAGCTGAAGCTTATTAGGAGAAAAAAGCTCTCAGACTTGAGTTTGTACCAAGTGTGAGGAGGGAGGGGCAGGCTGGGATCAGACTTGTCCCAGCCGCGGTGTTAAGATGCACAAAGGCAGTGCACTGACCTGGAAGGCCTGGCATGCCATGAGGGCCCAGGGCTTGAAAATACTGGCCTGGGAGGGGGCACATGCATGTACACGCATGTGTGTCGGAAGAGGTAAGCGGGTGCACGTGTGGACTGCATACCTGAGAGGGGAAGCCAGTCCTGGGAGACAGAGCAGAAGGCCCAGGGAGGGAGTAAGTTGCTGGGGGAGCAGAGCACCAGGTCCCACCCTCCCAGCCTGGCAGTGCCTCCTGGCAGCCAGCTTTAGTCCTCACTGCAGGGGGCCAGGGACGGCTTCTCGCGGTGCTGGCACCTCACATGGGACCTGACGGAGAAGTGTGCCAGATGCGTCATTTTTCCTGTCCCCAGCCTGCCCCTCCCTCCTAATCCTTGGTACAAACTCAAATTTGGGAGTTTTTTCTTTTTAAAAAAATATATTTTTATTGATCTCAGAGAGGAAGGGAGAGGGAGATAGAAACATCAATGAAGAGAGAGAATCATTGATTGGCTACCTCCTGTACACCCCCCAACTAGGGATTGATGGATCACAATCCTGGGCATGTGCCCTTGAACGGAATCAAACCCGGGACCCGTCAGTCCACAGGCTGATGCTCTATCCACTAGGCCAAACTGGCGAGGGCTGGGAGTCTTTTCTCCTAATCAACTTCAGATCTTGCTGTCGGGGACAGGAACACAATCCAGCGGCTCCAGGCATGGGTTCAGTTTCTCTTACCAGTAGCCAGGGCATCTTGGAGAAATCTCAGAGCCTTGGTTTCCTTCACTGTGGCTGGCTTGGGAAGGATGGAGCAAGGAGGTGTGGGACGCGCCTGGCCTCCGATAGGAGCTGGGTACCCGCTGATCCCCCTCCATCCCGACCGCCAGGGTTGGCACCTGTGTGAGCATCAACATGGCGCTTCTGAGCACAGGCTCTGGGGCTGCATCTCTGACCCGCAGTTGCTGCTGTGTGATGCTGCAACCGCTTATCCTCCGTGGACCACAGTCTTCTCACCTGGCTTAAGGGGAAAGGAGCCTTTCATGGTAGTCCCCTCCCGCAGAGGCTCGCTCAGAGGTCAGGGCTGGTGCAGAGCGCTGGTCAATGTTAACTTTCACCATAAGCAGCGGCGGATGCACCTGGGAAGCCCCAGCGGCCAGGATGAGCCCTGCCTGCAGGCCGGACTTTGCCTCCCTGCAGTTCACAGAGACCTTCAGACGAGGGGGGGGGAGGGTCCCGGCCTCCCAGCCAGATAGTTTCTGCGCCCCCAGCTGCCCTCCCTTCTCTTGGGGCTCCAGCTCTCACCCCACCACCACCACCAGCCACCCACAGGATGTGGTCGGCCATGGACTCGAGTCTTTTGTGTAACGTTTATTCTGTTTTATTTGCCAAACATGAGTCTGCGTTGTTCACGGAGGATTGGTGGGAGGCCAGCACAGCAGGGTGGGGGAGAGATCCTCAGCCCCCCAGCCTCCTCCAGCCCCCCAGCCTGGTCTGCCACACCCAGTATTACCTGGGAGCTCCCTCCCCCCCCCCCCCACACACACACAGGAATCCAGCGAGACCCTCCACTTTGCTGGGCTGTCTTTGGCCTGGAGCAAACAGGAAAGCAGTTGTCCCACGGACATGGGCCCCTCTTCAGGAGGCTGCAGAAGCCCGGGCCCATTTTTCAGACGGAGACAACTGAGCCAGAGCGACCCGCAGCACCTCAGGTCATGCCCTTCCGAGAGGGGGAAGAGGAGACGGGGCGGTTTAGGCGTTTTGGGGAATTGGCGGTCTCGAGAGGAAAAGCTGTGTGTCCTTTCACTTTCCAACCAAAAGGCTCGGCGGCGGCCGCCTCCCACATCTGCGGCTGCCTGCCCTCCCGGGAGGTGGGGATGTGGCTCCTTCCCCTCCGCCCTCCTCAGCCCCAGCCCCTGAGGTTAGAGCGGGACTGAACTTTAATCCAGAGCAATCTGGTTTCTCTTCTGTTAGCCGGGCGGGTGCCGTCCACCCCCACCCCCACCCCTGGATGAGGGAGGGCGGTGACTCAGTCTGCCTGTGTACATGTGTGTCCCCTGGTCCCAGCACCCGGGGTGGGGCAGGAACCAGCCGTCTCCGGCGCCTTTCCCCCACCCCCAGGTGTGTTGCAAGCAAGCCTGACCCTCCCCCACGCGGGGAGCGAGTGCTGCCAGATTCCTGGGCGTTTCCTCACTGTTGGGAGATGGGACCTCAGGGAAAGTCCCAGGTCTGGTCATCCTGGGCGCTGTGGGAACCGGCAGGGAATGCAGGCGTGGGCCCCGGCCCGAAAGGGGGTGGGCTGAGCCGGGGCAGCGGCTGGAGGGGGACCCCCTCCCTGCTGACCCCTCCCCCCCTCCGCAGCCACGGGAACAAGGAGGTGTTCTCCTGCCGGGGCATAATGCTGGCCGTGAACTGGTTCCTGGAGCGGGGCCACACGGACATCACCGTGTTCGTGCCGTCCTGGAGGAAGGAGCAGCCCCGGCCCGACGTGCCCATCGCGGGTGAGTGACTGGCAGGGCCCCAGGAGCCTGCTTCTCCCCACAACAGACCCTCCGTGTGCGACCGGGCTCTGCCTCTGAGCACTGGGCACCTCCCTCCTCGAACGGTGGGCGCGCTCTCCACATCCCAGGGGCACACAGGGCAGCGGAGTGTGGTGGCTGAGCCCAGGGGCTCTGGAATCCCGGCCCTGGCCCTTCTGGCAGCCTTGCTCAGAGCCAGTTGCTCCTCGTCTGCCACGGGCGGGGGTTGGTACTCTCTCGGGGGTGTTGCGAGGAGCCCATGCGTTAACGCACGGTAAGTGCTTACTGAGCAGGGTGCCTGGCACAAAGTAGGTGCTCATACAGGCTAGCTGCTAACCACTGTTCTTGCAACAAGAGCCCCTAACCTTTGAGAGGAGAAACCCGAGTTCACTGAGACCTGGGAAAGGCTGGCTAGGGCGCCCGCTCTAGGAAAAGTAGCCCCTTCAAATGGACTCTTGTCCTGGCTGCGCAGGAGACAGAGCCAAGGCCCATCTCCACACACGCTGGGGCTCACTCACGGACCCCTATGGGGCCAGCTGGGTGAGCACCGGGGCCGAGCCCCTCTGGCGTGAACAGGCTGATCGGCAGCAGGAGAGAAGGCTGAGGCCCGGCCCTGTGCTCCGGAGCCTCCGCAGAGCGGACCTGCAGGCCTGCTCTCAGATGTGCTCGATGTTTAGGCAGCGAACCGTGGGCAAGGCCCGGGTGAGGGGCTGAGGATGGCAGTGGCCTCAGCAGAGCCACATCCATCCCCGGAGCTCCTGTGCCGGCCGGCCGGAGGCCAGGGGGCCCAGTTGGCCTGGCTCTGGGGCCAGGCTGGGCTCTGACCCGAACCACTGCCCCTTCCAGACCAGCACATCCTGCGGGAGCTGGAGAAGAAGAAGATCCTGGTGTTCACGCCGTCGCGGCGCGTGGGCGGCAAGCGAGTGGTGTGCTATGACGACCGCTTCATCGTGAAGCTGGCCTTCGAGTCGGACGGCGTGGTGGTTTCCAACGACACGTACCGGGACCTCCAGAGCGAGCGGCAGGAGTGGAAGCGCTTCATCGAGGAGCGGCTGCTCATGTACTCCTTCGTCAACGACAAGTACGTGCCGCCGGGGGCGGGGCCTCTGCTGGGGGAGGGGGCGGGGCCTCTGCTGGGGGAGCCGGGCAGCCTCGATGGGGAGATGGACACAGCACCGCGTAAGGGGGTCAGGCTGGCACCGGGCAGAGGCGGGGGCGTTTTGATTGGGAGGGCAGAGCTGTAGCATTTTTTTAAAAATTTCTTTGATTAAAAGGTATCACCTATTTGTCCTCAACTCCCCTGTAGCATTTTTTTTAACCGTTTTATTGATTTCAGAGAGGAGGAGGAGGAGGAGGAGGAGGAGGAGAGAGAAAGAGGTAGAAACATCAATGATGAGAGAATCGTTGATCAGCTGCCAAGGGATTGAGCCCTTGACCGGAATCAAACCCGGAACCCTTCAGTCCTCAGGCTGATCCTCGATCCACTGAGCCAAACCGGCTAGGGCAGTGGTCAGCAAACTCATTAGTCAACAGAGCCAGATATCAATAGTACAACAATTGAAATTTCTTTTGAGAGCCTAATTTTTTAAACTTAAACAACTTTCAACGCCACTTCTTCAAAATAGACTTGCCCACACCGAGGTATCTTGTGGAAGAGCCACACTCAAGGAGCCAAAGAGCCGCATGTGGCTCGCGAGCCGCAGTTTGCTCTAGGGCTATAGAATTTTTTTTTTTAATCCTCATTCAAGAATGTGGTCGATGGTTCCAAGAGAGCCTCCGGGTTCTCGGCACGGAATCTCTGGCCTTAGGTTCAGACTTTCAGGTTGCCCACTGCCCTCTGGCCTCCGAGAGGGCCCAGCAGGAGGGTCGCCCAGGGAGGCCCGAGTTTTAGGAGCTGCCCTCCTATTCTTCTAGGTGAGGCTCACTGTCCAGCCCCCTCCCAGCTCTGGGAAGTCCCCCTCATGTCTCCCACCTCTTCCGCAGGTTCATGCCCCCCGATGACCCCTTGGGCCGTCACGGGCCAAGCCTGGACAACTTCCTGCGTAAGAAGCCACTCACAGCTGATCACAGGAAGCAGCGGTGCCCCTATGGTAAGAGACCCAGCTCCACCCCCCTGGCCCTCCTCACTCCTTCCCCTTCCTCTCACCTGTGGGCCTGCACCCAAGTTCTTCCTCATGGGGACCACCCAAACCTCAGTTTCCTGTGCCCTCCCTGGTCCTCGAGATCCCCCAGTTTCCTGTGCCCCCGCCCTGGTCCTACGAATCCCCTGCTGAGAGTCCCCTTCCTTCTCTCCAGAAAGAAAATGCACCTACGGGATCAAGTGCCGGTTCTTCCACCCGGAGCGGCCGAGCCGTCCCCAGCGCTCCGTGGCAGACGAGCTGCGTGCCAATGCCCTGCTCTCGCCCCCTAGGGCTCCCAGCAAGGACAAAAGCGGCCAGCGGCCTTCTCCGTCTCAGCCTGGCTCTGTGCCCCCAGAGCGTAAGCAGTGTAGCCTGGAAGGGAAGAAACTGGGAGCCCAGGCACCCCCAGTGTCCCACCGAGAGGGTCTGAGCCAGACCTTCGTCCCGGTGACCACAGGCAGGAGCCTCCCGCCCAGTGGGGGCAGCGGCGGCAACTTTGGGCCCACGGACTGGTTCCCACAGACCCTGGATTCCCTCCCGTACACCTCTCAGGACTGCCTGGACTCGGGCATCGGCTCCCTGGAGAGCCAGATGTCGGAACTGTGGGGGGGTCGAGGAGGGAGCCCGTACGCTGGCTACAGCCCCTATGGGGCTGAGCTCCCGGCCACTCCCGCCTTCTCTCCGGCCTTCGGGCGGGCCGTGGGTGCTGGCCACTTCAGCGTCCCTGCCGACTACGCGCCTCCGCCGGCTGCCTTTCCACCTCGCGAGTACTGGTCCGAGCCATACCCGCTGCCCCAGCCCACCCCAGTCCTGCAGGAGCCCCGGGTGCCCAGCCCGGGGGCTGACAGGGGCACGTGGGGTGGGGCGGGCGGCCTGGCCAAGGAGCGGGCCAGCGTGTACACCAAGCTGTGTGGCGTCTTCCCCCAACGCCTGGTGGAGGCCGTGATGGGGCGCTTCCCGCAGCTCCTGGACCCCCAGCAGCTGGCCGCCGAGATCCTCTCCTACAAGTCCCAGCATCCCAGTGAATAGGAAACCTCCCGGGGCTGTCCGACTGGAGGCTGGAAAGAGGGAGGACTCAAGTAGGGAAGGCAACCCACAAACCAAAGATACTGTAGGATTGGTTCTGACCCCCTCGGCACCTCTCTGTCTGCCTGAGTGGGTCGGAAGTGATCACCCTGTTGATGCACATTGTATCTCTGTAGTTTAAGGAGACGCTGCCGGTAACGGCCGTCGGTCCGTGGCTAAAGCCCAAACCCTCCTTTCTCTCAGGGCGGGGAGGGAGGCCGGGGGAGCAGAGGCCTGGGCTGGGGGCCCTGTGCATGGCCCCCCGCCTCCACCCCGTCCCTGGGGTGCCAGTCTTGGCTGGCTAGTTGGGCACCGTGTGCCTGCCCTCCAAGGGCCCCTCCTCTAAGCCAATGAGGCCTCCTCCGTGCTCTCTCGGGCACAAGGCTTCATGTTAGTAAGCAAGATGCTTCTTAATAACCCACCTTCTGTCCACTCAGTGCGCCTACCCCGTCACCCCCGCCGGGGTCCAGAGCCCTCTGCCCCGAACCCCCTCTCCCTCTCCCTTCCTCTGCACTTGGAGTCATCTCACCCTCCCCCGCAGCGGGGGGTGGGGGGAGACACATGTAATGTTAATGTTTGAAGTGGAAAGTCCTTGCCTCCCTGACACATCAATAAAGTCCATCAGTAAAGTCCAATGTGAGCCCTTGTAAGGGTCTTTGTTGCGGGTTGAGCTGGTCTTTGGGTGATGGAAGGTCAGGGGTGTGTGCACACGGTCCTGACAGGCCGCACCGGGACTGTCCATCCCTGTGGGGCAGAGGAATCCCCTCTCTCTCTCTCTCTCTCTCTCTCTCTCTCTCTCTCTCTCTCTCTCTCCATCCCTGGGCTGGGGGAGGCCAGGGGTGTGGGAGGGGTGGAGGGAGGTAGGAAGCAGAAGTGGAGCTTGTCCTGAAAGTGTGGTGTGGGGAGGCGGTGGGAGCCGGGGGACCTCTTCCCCTTTCACGTCCTGTGACCAGAACTGAGGATGGGAAAGCACCTGACCGAAGACGGCTTCCAGGAGAGCTGGGTGGAGTGGGGAGGGGAGCCCTCGGCCTCCGGCCCAGTCCTCCCAGAGACTGTCAGAGCCAAGAGTGGGGCAGGGGGGGCTCCAGGGCAGGAGCAGCCGGAGAGGCGAGGCCAGGGTCACCTCCACGTGGGAGGTAGAGGTCCTGGTCCCACACTCCAGAACTGGCTCTGCCACCGGTTGTGTCACCTGGAGCTCAAGGGACTCCTCCGCGCTGGGTCTCAGTTGCCTCATCTGTGAAGTGGGCATAATACGGCACCTGAAGGGCTGTAAGGAGCACATGAGGTCATACGTGCTGGGAGTGTGTCCCAAGGCCTGGCGCGTATTAAGTGCTCATTAAAGAACCTCTGGTGGTTTGTGTGGGTGATGTTCACCTCCATCCACCATCTCTACCTTCTCATCTGCCCCTCAAAGGAAAGAGACCAGGCAGGAATGTACCTCTCTCTCTCTTTTGCAGATTAACAAACGAGGTATAAATGTTAACTAAGTAAAAAGCTGGCTGTCAGGCAATCCCCAAACAGCACCATCAGCAGGAAAAAGGAAAAAGCAGTTTTAATAATTACATCTTTGAAACATCTCTCCTAACATGTGCTTATTGTTTGTGAAGCTTTTACAGTATCTGTATTTTTTTTCCTGCTAAGCAACGGCTTGCCGGCATCGGTTTGGCTCAGTGGATAGAGCATCGGCCTGCGGACTGGAAGGTCCCGGGTTCAATTCTAGAGGGCATGTACCCAGTAGGGGGTGTGCAAGAGGCAGCTGGTCGATGATTCTCTTTATCAACGTTTCTAGCTCTCTATCCCTCTCTCTTCCTCTCTGTGAAAAGTCAATAAAATATATTTTAAAAAAAAGAAAAAGAAAAAAAGAAACGGCTTGGCCACAGAACAGCTGGGCAGCATGTTGGGGGAAATGTCACGTGGGCAGGCTGCACACAGGGCCCCACCCGGTTCTTCACACCAAATGTTCTCTAGACGCCTGCACTGGAGGCAGGAATCCATGGACAATCCAGGCCGGTCGATCAGCCTTCTGGGAAAGTTTATCTGCATAAAGAAATGTCATTGCCTTATTCATATAAGAAAAAAACTTTCCCAATCAAGAAGTGTACTCCAGGTTAAAAGGCTATTTATGGGCCTTTGTTTTTATGGGACAGGAAGCTAACAGACTGGACCGTCCAGTTTGTTATCAGCCACTGATAATGCTGAGTGACTGACTTGCCCAAGGTCCCACGAAGAGGGGTGGACTGGGGCAGGGCCTCAGGTTCAGGTCTCCTGGCCCCACAAACCTGCAGAAGGGAGGGCCCTGAGAGTTCTTGGTCATTTGCTGCTTCTGCTTGGGGATGGGGGTGGGGGGTGTTGAAGATCCTACAGAAGGGGCAGGAGGTGGCAGGTCCAGGCTGGCTGTGGCTAATGTCTGGAGGCCACATGTGTCCCTGACAGCTTGTTGACAGACACGGACAAGGGCAACGGAGCCCAGGTGGCAGGTGTCAGCTGGGCCCAGGGCCCGGGGAGAATTGAGGTCACGTCGGTGCCCTGTTGGCCAGAGCTTGTATCCTGTGCTTTCCGGGCAGCCCCAGCCTGGCAAGGCTGGCCTCCAGGGTGTAGCCTGCCCTCCAGGCCTCTTTCTCAATCTGACTTCTGGGCAGAGCCACGCAGAGGCTGCCAGATGTCTCTCCCACGAGTTGAGTTTTATCTGGAAAGTTCTCCCCGCCATCTCTTGAAGCGCCTTTATGAATGGGGCCTCCGTGGCCCCACCTGTAAAAGGAATACGAGGATCCCTGGGTTCGACAAGATGCTTCCTCAGTTCCCATGGCAGCAGCGCGAGAAGGAGTCCCCCTCCCTGGCTGTGGCCCTGGGCAACTCCCCGCTCCTCCCGGAGCCTCCGCTCCCTGGCCTGCCCCACAGGACAGCTGGGAGGTTCCCACGGGCTGGTGTGGAGGAGCGGGTGGCAGGTCCTGGACGTGATTCTGGGACAGAAGCTCTAGCACCGAGGCACTGGAGGGGATCAGACGCCTCAGCTGCCCTGCCAGCGTTCCTCCTCCTCTTTTCCTGGTTCCAGAAGCTGAGAAGCTGATGGGGAAACCAGTGAGTATGCAAATCCCCACCTTGCTGGGAAATGATCCTGGGGAGCTCACAGGAGGGCCTCCTGCCAGCCCTTCCCTGAACCCCACCGCCTCCTCACCCCACGAGGGCTGCCACCGGCAGGGCCTTCAGCCTGGTTCTGTCTCTCACATGGACGTGCCCCGCTGGGGGTGCTGGACAGCTGTGGGGATCACAGCCACCTTGGCAGAGGACGAACTGGCCCACAAAGGGATGACATTCCTTGCCCTAAACGTCCCCACCCACTCGGTCTCCATATCACTCACCAGCCTGAGAAAAACCCACGCTGTCCCTACAAATCTAGGGACCTAAACCAGGAGGAGAGCTGTGGGGCTCCTGGGGAGCCCTTATCCAGGGCCCCCAATGCTATTAACACCCCAACCACGGCCGGCTCGTCTCTGGTAGGGAGGTTGGAGGAGTGGCTGGGAAGAGGCAACCACTGCAGCTGACCCTACCACCCTCTTCCCACCAGCAGTCTGTGCCCTCCCATCGCCCCCACGTCACCTGCGAAAGCTGGAGATGGTCTCCCCAACACACAAGGACAAGATCCCTGCCTGAGGGAGGGCTGCACCCATCTCTGTCAACAGAGACAGAGTGAGTAAGCAAGAGAAACTGGGATGCCATGGGACAGATCTGGGGACTGGGGGTGCCTCCAGCCCGAGCCCTGGGTCCACCTGGTCCCCAGGGCCTTGTGCCCCCCAAAGGAGGCGGGCCGGGGATCAGCACTCTGCCCTGGGGCCTCTCAAATCTCTGGCTCATTATTTTTTCCCTAGAACACAGCATAGTGGGTGGAGTAGAGGGTGGTGAGTAAGAGCTGCTTCTGCAGGACCTCCTAATTCATGGGAAGGGTGTGGGAGATTTGGCTGAAAGAGACAGGAAGTAGGGCCCTACAATTAAGAAAGCCCAAGCCATCGCAGGTCATGGTATGTAAATCCTCCCAGCTAGTTCCTGGATGGGGAGTAGGCACCAGGCTGTCACCCTGAGGTGTGATGCCTCTGGAAGCCCACCCTCCAGGCAGTGGCTGGAGATTTTAAACTGCTCACTCATTAAAGACTCATTTTCTCACTGCAAAACGAGGTGGAGAAAAGGATCCGGCAGCCCCACCCCCGCTCCTGCTGAGTTGGGCTCCCTGCTAAAAGGGCAGGTCACTGGGAAAGGGTCCAAAGGCTCTGGTTCTGGCTGCTCTCCAGAGAAGAGCCTCACAAAGGCCCGGGCACTGGCGAGGCGCTGCCTGCCACCTGCTGGCGCCTTCTGGTATGACAGCCTGTGGAGCTGGAGGCTGGCTGAGCAGCCTGCACCACCAGCTCTGGCCTGAATGAGGGGCCTAAAGACCAGGGTCTGCAGCTCCACCCTGGAAAGCAGCACCAGAGGTCACCGTCGTGCTGCCTACAAAGTTTAAAGTTCCAGAATATTCCAATTGTTCTGGGTAACAAATTGCCCAAGTCAAATTCTCAGGAAGTGGAGGAAGAAGAAAGGAAAAAAAGGAAAAAGAAAAAAAAACAAGTATCCAATTTTTTTAATGATCAGGACGATGAGTGAGTTCCATGTGTTTAAGCACTTTGACAGATCCCCCCTTGGCTCAGCAATCCCACTGCTAAGAATCTATTCTACAGGAATTCAACACACTTGCAAAATGAGGTGTATAAAGCACCATAGGAGCCCTGGCCAGGTGGCTCAGTTGGCTGGAGCACTGTTCTTACACCAAAGGCTGTGGGTTCAATCCCTGATTGGGACACTAATGGGAAGCAATCAATCAATGTTGCTCACACCAATGTTCCTCTCTCTCTGTCTCTCTCCCTTCTTCTCTCTCTAAAATCAGTACACATCCTTGGGTGAGGATAGAAAGCACACTATATGTATGACCCAGCAAAAGACAGGCAACAGCATGACTGCCAGCAACAGAGAACCGGTTAAATAAATGTTGGTATAGTATACACAGTGGAATGTTAAACAGCCAATAGAAATGAGGCAACCACACAGATAGGGCATTTTCTAAGCTATGTTGCTTACATGGAAAAAGGAAGGATACAACAATGTCGCTATTACCACAATTTGCCCACCATCCAGAACTGAAATATCATTGCTGACATGTACACATAAGGAACTGTTCGACATTGAAATTGGGTCTCAAAAGAACTGGTGGCCCAGAAAGAAGCTCACTATAGACTGATGCATATGCCTTTTAGCATAATGATTATTGCTTTTTTTTTTTTTTATTCTTATATTTCCAGTAGGACATGATCTTACTCATCTAGGGGAAATGGTGAACAACATAGACTGATGAACAAGAACAGACCGAGAGATAAGGAGCCATGGGTCAGACTGTTGGACCTCAAAGGGAGGGTGGGGATAAAAGGGAGAGATCAACCAAAGGACTTATGTGCACACATATGAGCCTAACCAGTGGTCAAGGACAATAGGGAGGTGAGGGTAGAAGGAGGGGTGGAGGATTGGAATGGGGGGTTGAAGACAAATATGTGATACCTTAGCCGAAACCAGTTTGGCTCAGTGGATAGAGAATCGGTCTGCGGACTGAAAGGTCCCAGGTTCGATTCCGGTCAAGAGCATGTATATTGGTTGCGGGCACATCCCAAGTAGGGGGTGTGCAGGAGGCAGCTGGTCGATGTTTCTCTCTCATTGATGTTTCTAGCTCTCTATCCCTCTCCCTTCCTCTCTGTAAAAAATCAATAAAAATATATTTTAAAAATATGTGATACCTTAATCAATAAGGAAATTAATTTTAAAAATGTCACTATGTGATAACTCTTCTGTAAGAGACATGTACACATTGCTCATGCGTACAAAGTTCCTCTGGTTAGGATACACAAAGAACTGTCTCTGGGAAGGGCGGCTGGCAGCTGAGGGACAGAGCAGACTTATTTTTTAGTGACCACATTTCAGTACCATTTGAAAGTATGCCATTTGCACATATCACTTATTCAAATGAAACATCGTAAAGCCCCCTTGGGATACAGAACTAAGTTACGGGTGTTGGGGTGGGGATCTGAGGACGGTTGTATTGGCCAGAGTCTCCCAAGTTTATTCTTGAACACAAACAGTAAAAACTTAGAGCATACATGTTCCCAACAAGTATATGTTGTCAATTTGTGATAATTGCCGTTTTTGAAGATGGCAATGATTATCAGCAATTGCTTTGGTTCAACCTAACATGTATTTATAAATTATCTACCTGTGCTAATGACTAAGATGTGAGTCTATTTTATAACACACTCAAAGTGAAAGTAAATATAAATCAAACCACCTCCACACCACGCCGGCCCTGCGACGGAGGCTCAGCATCACCTGCACCGCAGCCCAGCTCAGCGGTGAGAACTCTTACTCCACAGCAGTTTTTCAAAGTGAACGCTGTTTCAAATCATGGCGCCGAGCACTTGTTTAAAATCCAGACACGATAATTTAGATCATTATCTCTGCATCGTCCGTGCACATCACCTTCCCAGGCACCGAATAAATATACCTTGAGCCCGGGAGGAGCACAGGTGTACGAAGCCACGCGATCCACTCTCCACGCTGCCCTCACACCAGGGCATGGTCCGGAGGGGGCTCCAGGCGTGACTTTTTAGTGTAGCAAAGCCCCAGTAATGTGGAGTTAAGGATGAGGGGCAGAAAAATCAGAATAAAAGCAAACACTAAGTCACAGATCATTTCAAAACAGCATGCTCACTGCTTTGAGCTCAGGCCTCTTGTTTGAGTCCCTTATTCATGGCATGAGTCAAGGAGTCTCTATAGATTATTTACATCACCCACACCCAAAGGCCCAGGCTTGGAGTTGGAACTAATTCCTATGCCTGCTTCCTTCTCTTTCAAAGCAAGGGATTATTTTCCTAAGCAAACAGTATGAGCTCAGTTGTGGGGAGAACAGTTAACCTGCTTTTTGATAAGTTCCTAAAGCACCCTGAAGGCCCCCAAGCTACGTGGACAGCTTTCAAAGTCCGTGCTCTCTGAACACAAACTGGCCCAGTCAGATTCACGCTTCTCTTCAGCCTCTCCCCTGGCCCCACACAGCTCCTAACCTTTCCCTGTCTGGCTTGTTCCGACAGAGTTGCTGCGGACAACCTGTAGGGGAAGGGTGTTGGGTTTGAGTTTGAATAGTGTTTCCTCAGCCCCTGGAAGAGGAACCTGGAGACTCCCCAGGAAGCTTCGTACAGATGCCACCTCACAGGATAAGACATAAAATGTAACTACGAGCCTGAACTTAAAAACGTCTAACTACCAAAAGGAGCATAGGATAACCTCTCCCCACCTTAGAGAGGAGAAGGCTAGAGAAAACCGAGTTTACCCCGACGGCAGGAATCAGCCAGCACGACTGCCCTCAGCCCTCCGATTCCCTTGTTTCTTTGAAGTGCGGGAGAGGAAGAAGGGAGGACATAGCCTGGGAATCATCTTCGGATTTGGTTCTAGTCCTTTGAACCAATTCACTCTCTGTCCCTAAAACCTGAAGCAAAGTCCTACGCCAAACCCAACCAACCGGAAGGCAGGCCCAGAAGGAAGCCCCTTCCCAGGGGTCCTGGCGGTCACTGTTCAGGGGCCCCCCCGGCAGACCACCCCCATCCAGCTATCACAGGTTCTAGGAAGGCATCTGCCACCTACACAAATGCGTCCCTCCGTGTTAGCACTTTGGAGCAGGACTTATCAGTCATTACCTTGTCTTCTTTTAAAGTCACGCAAACTGGTAATAATCCAGGTTACAAGTATGATAAGCATGGCAGACAGTATCCTTTGGTGCCTTTTTCGAAACCACTCCAACGCAAGGGACTGATCTTTCAGGACTTGAAAAGCTCCAGTATGCCTCGCCAACTTAGAGAACTGGGAGGTTTCCCCAATCAGTGATTAAACTTCACAGAGAAAGAAGCCTGATTCTATGGTCATGTATACACATGGGTATATTTGAAATAATATATGGTTGGAAGAGCAGTCCTAGGACATCTCCAGCAAATGTCAAACTTAGAGATGTTTCCAGGTTTGCCAGGGGCTTTCCTCAGAGTTCAGGAAACTGTAGGTACCCTTCCCCTCCCTCCCGGAAAGGAGACAAACTGACAAGGATACTGGTTTCCACTGTTTTTAGTTTTTCATTCTTTTTTTTTTTTTTTTTAAAGGAACAATCTACATATAAGAAACTATTTCCTTAAATACCCTGACATTAGAGTTCTGCTACCAAAGACATAGCCAAAGACATCTAAATAGCCACAGGGTAAAAAAAAAAAAAAAAAAAGAAAAAAGAAAAAGAAAGATTTATTGAGAACAAGAGTGAAAGCTTTTGTACATCTGACAAAGTAGAATTGTTTTGATAATCGACACCACCCACATTCAGCTCTACCAATAGTATCACGAATGGAACATATTTTTTTCTAACAAAGATATAGGCATAGGTAAAGGACTAGGACTAAATACAGTCCAAGGGGAGGGGAGGTCCCAAGTCTTATCCCTTAGACTGATTCACAACACAGGATTTAAATCGCATCATCCCGTCTCCTAACGCAGTGGCTCCTAACTTGGCTTCCTATCAGAACCCAGAGACTCTCGGAAAAGAGATCCCCATACCAGAATACCTCTGGGGTGGGACCCAGGCATGAGTATTTTTCTAAGCTTCCCAGGTGAGTCCAATGTGCAGCCAAGGTGGATCACAACTGCTCCACAGACAACAAGGATCAGTAACAATAATCAGCAAGTTCCTAGGCTCTCAGCCCCCTGAGAAGGGGGATCTGGTGGGCGATACTGGCTCTCTCTCTCTGCTCAAGAACTCTGTCTGGTTATCAGCTTTAAGTACAATTTTGAGCCTTTCCATATGCCTTAGTGATTTTTCAAGCACTATTTAATCAGGCAAATACCAGCAAAGAGAGAAAAGATGGAAAGAGAAATTTCCATAAGGCATGATATGAATAAATAAAATACGTGAAAAAAAAATCTCAGGTTTAAAAGTAAAACATGAGAAGTAAAATCCTGTGAATTTTTATTTATACAAAAAGAATAAAAATATTTTAAAAGGACTGATTTAAACTTACGTTTTTAAGCTTTTCCTATTCTTTGAACATGAAACTACTCCCAACTCAGAAAGTTGAGATAAGTAATTATTAAATAAACACTCTTTAACTTTCCCCTGTGAAAAACCAAAGAGCCAAGTTCCCCATTCTGTTTATGGTAAACCGGGTCACTTTCAGTTTAAGAACATTGGCAACTCCGTGACACAGATTATTAGATATGTCCACCGGAACGTATGAGCTGTACAAAGTCATTACAAAAAGCCCCAAAAGAAATAAGATGATAAAAACAACAATAGAAAAATCATGAAACACAAACGAAGTAAGAAAATGGCAGGTATTTACAGCCTCCCTATGAAATGGATCAGTGCTCTACTTTCAGCACAAAATAAAAGCAGAGGCCATTTCTCGGTGGGTCTCATAGATGAAGCTGGTGCCGGCCAGGCTGGGAGGAGATATTCGTTCCAAGAAGGAAGAGATTGAGTTAGCAACTTGCTGAGATTATAACCAGGTCCTGGTCTTCCTGCAGCTCTGTTACTAAGAATGACACGAAGTAAATGATCCAATGTGGCCTCACAGAAATGACTTGTCACCACATTTCAGAACAAGCGACTCAGAGTCACAGGCACCGGGTCTGGGGAAGCAGGGGCGGATGGCCACACGCTCAGGCAAGGGATGTTTATCTTTGTGAGGCGGAAGGAGGGAAGCAGGGCTCTCCAGCCTGGAAGCTTCTGCACTAATGAGTCTTCTAATAGTCCTAAAGAGAGGAAAAACAAGGTCCCCATTTATTCTCAGCAGAACAGTGGTTTGAACCTAAAATAAAATAAAAAATAAAAAAATCTCCTAAACAACTCTGCTAGGCTATTGTTCTAAAGCCAAAGATTCTATGTCAAATGTAATGTACAATAATATGTCACCCCTGAAAATGACCTGTCTTCTGAATCCAAAGGGACTGAAAAACTAATTGTGTCCTAATAATTAGACATCCTGAGCTCACCAGTCAGAAAAAAAAAAAAAAAAAATATTAACAATTCATTATTTAATCATTCAGCAAAAATGTGCAACTCCTTTCTCTCTCCAATATAAAAAAAAAGTAAGTTAACACCTAAAAGCTGAAGAGTATTTATACATGGATACCCCAGATTCTTAAATTACAGCTGTGACCCAGGTTGTGACACTCAAGCTCTGAGGACATTTTTCTAGTCATTTTCCTAATCATCAGCAGCCTCTCTGATATGGTCTGGCTGATACTTACAGCTCGTGGTTTTTTGTTTAACTTCAGATCAATCCTGTATGAGAAAGATAAGAGATTTGCATTTCAATTTACAGAAAAAGAGTCCAAGAATCAGCTACTGCATAGGGCACAAGCTATAACAAAGACTATTTGGTTAAGTAAAATCCACATTCTTCATTAGACTATGTCATATTTAGTTGTTTATCCAGATATTATTAAGCAAGTATTTAAAAATATGAGCAGATACTCCTGCCACAAGGCAAACTTAGATGACTCAAAAGGAAATATACAGCAATTATGAAAGCCTTATAATTCTTAAAAATTATTCCAAAATTACACATTAAAGAGACTGAATTAAGAGGGCATGCTCTATGTTACTGTGTTAGTTCTCTAACTATATCACTGATAATTAATGAGACATATGTGATTAAGAATAGAAAGAGACTAGGAGCTTGTATTTCCAGACATGAAACACAAATGAAATTAAACAAATTTCAGTTTTTAAATCTTTTCAAAGCAAAATATCAAGATCTTAAACTATCAATCTCCTTATGAAGCAAAGCCAGAAAATCAATTTAAAATATGAATTAAAGTGAAAGTTATCTATTTTAAAAGCAATTAAAATGCATAAAAGTGAAGTTTACTTAATTTTGCTGAAGTTATTAAATAAAATGTTACCTCCATCACGTTTTTCTGTTTTTAAAAAAAACTTCCCAGCCTAACCTAATATACATACCTACAATTAAACAGATAAACTATGGGTTAGAAAGGTCTCAAAAAGGCATATTGGTCTCTACACACTAAACAACACAGCACAAATACTAATTCAAATCAAACTTACTCAAAGTCATAATCAAACATGCCAGACGGACTGAGGGGCAGCATTTGAAAGGAAGAAAGCAACAGAAATTAATATACTAATTGAATAAATTAGTTGATTAGCCACCCTAGCAAGATTTATAGAAACAAAATCAGCTTTAAGAATCTTAAGCCATAAAGTTTCAAACATGAAAGCACCAAAGATTTTGTGGTTGGGAGATTCCCTTCCCTCAATAGTTTTCATATCGGGAGAACAGACTATGAAAGGAAGTTATTTCATTAGAAAACTAGACACCTGCAGGCCTTCTATTAGCTGCCAGATTCAGAGTTAGAACGTGGAAAATATTTAATTGTAATGACAAGTATAATTAGGACATTAGAAGAAATAGAAAAAGAAGGGTTTAGTCATATAATGAAAGGTGCTTTGAAGACAGTACTAACAACTCAACAAAATATACTTGCATTAAAACAAAAGATAAAAACATCATACATTTTTTAAAAGAAAACATTCTGCAACTTTTAACTCAAGTTATATGTTCTAAACAAGTTATATGTTCTAAGCATGTCCAGGGAACATTGTACTCCTTTTCTACTGCATTCATTTTAGAAGCCCAGGGTCGAATGAAGGAACTTCAGTGACAGGTGAGTCTTGTTCCAGAAACTCCAGAGCCTGCACTGGTGATGGCAGTTAACTGTTTGTGTCAGGGCTACAGTTATGGGACACCAGAGTCTGCAGCACCCCTATGAAAACAAAGAAAAGTTGACACCCACAAGCACCCACACCTCAGGGATCTGGATGGGAGTAGTATGAAGAGAAAGTAATTCAGGGCCATCACTGATAACCATGTGTGGGCGGACCTCCAAAGCAAACATAACCCGGAGTCGGACACCAACCCTGCTGGCTCCAACCTTTCAGACCACAGATAGGTGGTAAAACAATATGCAAAATGGCTATCTTTCTCTCCTCACCAATGTTTGCAAGAGTGAAGCTGGAAGAATGCTTAATGCCAATATCCCTTATGCAACAGTTTCACTCAAGACATTGGGAAAGAATATACAGTGGTGTACAAACTAGGAACTATTAAACATTTTTCTTCCAGCCTTATTTAATTTTATTCACAAAGTAGACTGTACCTACTTAATGAAAACCTCATAAATCTAGAAGAATTCCAGAGTTTAATAAAGTAATAAAAATCCAAAAGAGAGGCTGTAAGTTATTATTTCAACGGTTTTCTTACAGATACTGAAACTTATCTTTCAGATAATTTATGAGTATTAAATATTATGAGATAAATGTTCATATTCCTGAAGAGAACAAATTCAAAAGTTATTCCTTTTTGCTAAAGTAACTTATTTATTTCCACTTTGCTTCACTCACCGCTAAACAGTATCTCACATATAGTAGGTACTCAGACATTTGTTGGAATAATTTACTATTGACTTTATCTGAATACATGCAGGTTGGAGAAGAAACAAGTACAAATAGGTACTAAGTGCTCCATCCGGCCACCCACTCTGTCAGACCCACTAAGAATGACTTTAGTCAGAGGTGAGGGGTTCGGGCCACACATTTCCTGACTAAAGAAGGCGGAATCTGAGAACCTTCACTGGCCACGGAGCTGCTGGTCAGGCACACTCAATCTGTTTTCCCCAGAAAGAAGGTAAATAGCTTCACTCTGCTCCCTTGGGGCAGGCGAGTATCTAAGTCCAATGGAGAAGCCCAGCCAGATTAAACCAGGGAGATGGTCAAAGGATCCTGCTTTCCAAACAGAAAACACCATTTGTGAAAAATAACTAACATCAAAGATCTTTATAAATCCTAGTTATTTTTTTGGAAGGAGTTAGCTTCTAGGGCCAGGAAAAAGGGATAGAAAGAAGTATAGTTCCTTTGGAAACCTACAAACCTTCAAGAAGAAAATTAGATTCAAGTTCTAATTCCCTTTTATCACAGCTGTTCATGTCACAGAAGGAAATGAAGTATTACCTGAAATAAACAATAGCTATCTAGAGAATGTCTATTGGTATCAATAACAAACCTTCATGGAATTTCCCTCCTACTCTAGACACTGAATTGGAAAAGCATCATTTCTTTAAAATGACACTGGAGTAAATTTTAGTAAAAGCAACAGAGAGCATAACATTTAACTTTCTTGACAATTTAAAAATATTTTTAAGAATATGGTTCTCTGCTATTTGTGATAAGCTAGGATGAGTACTATCACAGTGATCAAACACACAGCCTTACAAAAATGAAAAGATACGTAATTTTTGTTATTTCTTACTGCACTTATGAGATTGGCATGGTGATCTGTGGTTTGCAGAAAAATGCTAAGCTAGCAGTCCTTAGTCTCTATTTGGAGGAAATACTTTTTCTGCAGTCTAAAAACCACACCACCATCGACAATAAAAACTCTTAAAAGAATGAAGATTCCAAAGAGGCTTAAACCAGTTAGAGTTAATTTTATATTATTTCTGTGTGCCACAGCCACAAAGCTAACAATGTAATGCCTGGGTGCGTAAAGGAAGATCCTACAGGTTTGTAAAACAATCCATCCCAGAAGCAAACTGGAGGACAGGGAACCCCATCCATCCCTTGAATGCTTCCTTTCACCTCCTCAGCATGCAGGCTCCGAGAGAAGCGGGACAGAAGCCAGCCCCCAGCCTATAAAAAACTGGTCTCCATGCCTCCTAGAGAAGGTCTTGAGGCTAGGGAGAGATTCCTCACTTGAGAAACTACATCCTCCCTCGACCTCTCTGAATGCAGCTGTGTAATTTCTAATTATCTGAGCTAACAGGCCCATATTATCATACAAACCCCACCAGAGTGAATACAAACTCCTCTCTGGTGATGCCTGACCTCTCTGTCCACTGATGCCATTCCTATCCCATATGCACTGCAAAACACCACAGCGGACAAACGTTACCTGGGAGGCACTCTCATATCTTACGGACTTTCTATTATACTCTTCCTCGGATATCTGGAGTCAGCGTATTGCAGAGGTACATAAAAACAGAGAATCACATGCAATAAAAAAAACCCTCACATTTAAAAAGAAAAAAAGACACATCAGATCGGTTCTCTCCATTCACCGGGAAACAAGAGTAGGCAGGGATTGGGATTAAAAACAAAGGATTTTATCCCACTTTGCAGCTGCCCAACATGGACTAGTGGTATTTTTCAAACACTATTACACAGACTCTGTTTCTATTTCCCTTTTTCCACTTCTAAAAGGATTCCAAATTCATTATATTAAACTAATTTTTTTATGGAACAAAATTCTTCTACATTAGAAGCGGTGAGAATGCTGTCCTCCTGCATGGTTATGCTAAAGCCCACTAATTACTCCCCTAGAAAAATAAAAATTATTCTGTTTCATTTGTACCAATGGAAATTCTTCCCAGCAGCACAGAAGAACTAAACCAATCCTGAAGACTTTTCATTCTAGTAAAATCCCTTCATAGCAATGCTCACGGATGCTGTGGGCGGGTGGGGGGTGGTGGGGAGTGGGACACATGAAGTGGGAGGAGGAGGTGGTCCCTACCACTGACCTGTGTCGGTTTTTATTCTTTCGTTTTTTATGGCTGCTGTGGTGGCTCCCTGAGGAAGTGGAAGCAGCCTTCTGGGGTTTCACTCCCTGCACAGATCCGTCCAGATCCTCAGGGTCCTCCTGGGTGGGCTCATTTTCCTGATTGTGGAAGTCTGGAGAAGTATCGCTTTCCGTCCCACTTCCTGGCTCCCCTTGAGGGAAGAAACACAAATTCCCAGAAGCACCATCAGTACTCGGGCAATCTGTCCGTCAGTCAGGAACAATTTTTTTTGAGCACTAATATATAAAAAAGACTACATTCCTAGACTCATTGATCATACCATCTAACTAACAAGAAGATACATACAATCAAAGCTTCCAAGTTACCAGCGTTCCTGGCATGTAATCAGAAATAGTGTAACCAGAGGCAGATCTAAGGACAGCTGGGAGATGGGGACATACAGGCAGGATAGCCTCACTGCATAAAGGTTCTATAAACATAGAATCTATTAACAGGATTAAGAATGATGCAAGAAGGTGACGAGTGACCGTGGAAAAACTTCCTATAGCCAGCCCTGATTCCTTTCCCCCAAACCATCCCGGAATCCTGTCTTTCTGTCAAGAAAAGAAGTTCATAAGAAAAGTCCTATTACCTAAGTTACTCTGAGAAATATTAAGAGTATTATTTTTAAAAATAGCAATAACACTCTTCAGCTGACACATATTCCCAATTTTACAACATCCCTTAATATATTATGCAAAATAATAATTTATATAAAATATTACATATATTTTAGTAAATGTATACTTTTCTTCTGAAAGGAATTTCTTAAAACTCAAGAGAAAAGCATGGGCGAAGATTTTCACTTTGCTCACTGTTGATGTCTTTGTATTATAAACTGCTGGGAGGGGACTTTAAATTGAGTAGCACGTGGACACAAGAAGTAATAGAAAGAGATGGTTTGCAAAACGCAAAAGATAAACAGAACCAGATCTCAGAAATCATGAAATACTATTTTTTTTTATCACTTCATGAAAGCAACCAGAAGAGGGAGCTCTAGAACTATAAAGCTAGAAAAAGTGTATTGATCTGGCCCTTCCACAGTTCAGAACAAACAGATTTCACAGAAAACTCAGCAAAACAATGCCAAAACTTACCCATAAAACTACAGTAACCAAAAGTATGTGGTACTGGCATATGAACAGACATACAGAAACCAGGGAAGAGAATTCAGAGGCCAGATACAAACCCTTAACATTTATGACCTACTGATTTTCAACAAGGGCATATTGACCAACCTGGCCCTTTTAATATGACGGACAATTTAATTAAAAGACACTGATGAGCTGGGACCGGTTTGGCTCAGTGGATAGAGCGTCGGCCTGCGGACTGAAAGGTCCGGGTTCGATTCCGGGCAAGGGCATGTACCTTGGTTGCGGGGACATCCCCAGTAGGGGGTGTGCAAGAGGCAGCTGATCGATGATTCTCTCTCATCGATGTTTCTAACTCTCTCTCTCTTCCTCTCTGTGAAAAATCAATAAAATAAAATTAAAAAAAAAAAAAGACACTGATGACCAAAACAAACAATCATTGCAGGCCAGATGCATTGGGAGTACTTGGAGTAAATGGATGAGCTGGTCATATTTTATTAGGTAAGCACACAAGTTCTTACAAAACAGTATAAATCAAAGCCCTATGAACGAAAAAGGTAACATGCCAGGCAGTAACCCATGCTCCAAAGTCCTGATATGGATATTAAGTATCACCAGTCAGAGAAGAAAGAGTGAATTCCTCAGGGAAAGCTTCAATGAAGGGGTAGACTTTAACAGGAGCTTGAAAAAGGAGAAGCCAAAATAAGGACAAAAAAAAAAAAAAAAATAGCACAAATAAAAGTGTAGAGGTGAGAAAACACAAGGTATATTTGGGACAAATGAATCAAACAGCAACATTTAAACAGAGAACTGGAGAAATGAGAGGTAAAATGGAGTGGCAGGTGAAGAGGACTCATGTAAAGGATTTCATTTCCCGAAGGTGCTGGTGAAGAGAACTGACTTGTAGTTTAACCTTTCTAAGCCTGTTTCCCCATTTGTAAAGAATTCTTCCTTTCATGTGTTCAGTATCTCTTATGGGCAAGGCATTGGGTTAGACATTGAACTACCACAACGTTCCCTATTTTCAAGGAGTAGTTTTAAAGATTAAATGAGATAATGAAAATAGTGTTTACTTGGTGACTAGAACACAGAAAGTGTTCAATCTTGATATCTGTGAGATCTACAAGCATGCAATAGGGTGGTGAAGACCTGGGGGCAGGGGAAGAGTTGGAGAGAGAGAGGTAAAGGGGGGGAAATGAGAGGTATCTGTAATACTATCAACAATAAAATTTAAAAAAATTAAAAAAAATAAAAGGAGGGAGAATCCAAGATGGCGGCCGAGGTAAACACCTAGCCACAGCCACACACAACAATTTCAATAAAATACAACTAAAATATAAAACGGACTTACTCAGAACTACAGGAAAGTCGACTGACTGGAAATTATACAACGAGAAGCAAGGAGAAAACCAGAAGGAAGCACGGAGGAGCTGGAAAAGCCTGAGGAACGGAGACACGCGGCGCGCACTCGCGGAGAGGATGGAGCTGGAGAGGAGGGGGGCTGAGTGTCTGGCGGGCGTTCCCTAGCGGGAAGGAGATAAAAGCTCCGACTATGCTGGGCCCCAGTTCCGACTGCTCTGAACCCCAGTTCTAGGCCAGACCCCGGGGACCCAGGCTCATCCATAGGGAGCTGGGCTGTAAGGCGGAACCCTGGGGGAGCGGCGAAAGGGGATCCCGGAGGCGTGCACATTGCGCGCAGAGAAGGGACAGTTGGCTGTGCCGCGGGATTGCCCTGGCGGGAAGGAGACTGGGGCTCCAGACTGCTCTGAACGCCACCTCCAACTCCACTTCCAACTGAACTGAATCCCAATTCCAGGCTCATTGGGGGAGAGCCTAGACTGTTTGGTAGCAGGCGAAAATCGAGGGCACCTTTCTCTCAGAGGCGCTTGCAGCGAGTACTGAAGGATCCTGAGATGCAGGAATGGCATAGGGTGGGGCTGACGGAAGCCAAGGATGTAGGCTACACTGTGAAACCCCGCCCCATCTATAGCTGCAAAATGCGACAACGAAATAGATCACAAACGAAAGAAATGGAAGACAAAAAGCGATTGGAAATAGAGTTCAAATCTACGCTTGTAGGGTTTTTCAAGAATTTCCTAGAAAAGATCGATAAGACCTATGAGGATATGAAAAGGGATCAACTAGAATTAATAAGTAATCAACAAGAAATGATAAGGGATCAACAAGAACTAAAGAATACATTGTCTGAAATAAAAAATATTATACAGAGTCCTAAAAACAGAATGGAAGATCGCAAGAATCAAGTCAAAGAGTTAGAACATAAAGAGCCAGAAGACACTCCTCCACGGAAGCTAGAAGACAAGAGAATCCAGAAAATTGAAGATAATGTAAGAAACCTCTGGGACAACTTCAAGCGAACTAATATCAGAATTATGGGGGTCCCAGAAGGTGAGAGAGAGCAAGATATCAAAAACACACTGAAAGAAATAGTGACAGAAAACTTCCCCCACCTGGTGAAAGAATTAGACTTACAAGTCCAGGAAGCACGCAGAACTCCAAACAAAAGGAATCCAAAGAGGACCACACTAAGACACATCATAATTAAAATCCCAAGAGCAAAAGACAAAGAGAGAATATTAAAAGCAGCAAGAGCAAAGAAGGTAGTTACATATAAAGGAGCACCTATACGATTGTCAGCTGATTTCTCAACAGAAACCATGCAGGCCAGACAGGAATGGCAAGAAATATTCAAGGTGATGAATAGTAAGAACCTACAGCCAAAGATAATCTATTCAGCAAAGCTATCACTCAGAATCGAAGGTCAGATAAAGAGCTTCACTAATAAAAAAAAAGCTAAAGGAGTTCATCACCACCAAACCAGAATTATATGAATTGCTGAAGGGGGTTCTTTCAGAAGAGAAAGTAAATAAAGATAAAAATTATGAACAACAAATACGTAACTATCAACAAGTGAATCTAAAAACCAAGGAAATTTTTTTTTTTAAATCTGATGAACAATATTAACTGTTGAATATAATAGAATCAGAGGTATGGAAGGGGAGTGAACTGACGATTCTTGGGGAAAAGGGAGACGGGGATGTGGGAAGAGACTGAACATAAACTGTGCACCTATGGATGAGGACAATGGGGAGTGGGGAAAGGGCAGAGGGTGGGGTGGGAACCTGGTGGAGGAGAGCAATGGTGGGGGGGGGGGGGGGGCGGAGGAACATTTGTAATAATATGAACAATAAAAATTTATTTAAAAAAAAATAAAAAATAAAAATAAAATGTCCTGGACAAAGCATCACCTAAAAATAAATAAATAAATAAATAAAAATTTAAAAAATTAAAAAAAAGAATCCCTGAAAAGAGAAGTGACATCCAACAATGAATATTTATGAAGTTCTGTCTAAATCCCCGTTTTAGAGTTATTAGGCTAGTAGTTTATAAGAGGATTGGAATCAGGGAACTAAATACCATTACAGTGAGCTCTGACCAGCATGGTTCAGTGGTTAGAGCGTCAGCCTGCACAACGAAGATCTTGGGTTCAATTCCCAACCGTAATCTGATCAAAGGCCCATATTTGGGTAGCACTTTCGACCCCCACACCGAGTCAGGGTGAGTGCAGGAGGCAATCAATCGATGTGTCTCTCTCATATTGATGTTTTTCTCTCTCTTTTTCCTTCCTTACCTCCTTCCAGTCCCCCTCCCTTCCACTCTCTCTAAATATGGAAAGAATATCCTCACTCCTCAGTGAGGATAAAAATAAATAAATAAGTAAATAAAATACAAAGTGAGAATAATTTTCTTCTTGGCTCAGGGAAGCAGGAGAGGAGTGATGACAAAAGGGCTGGGTGACAACATCTCCAAGTGCAGCGGTGAGCCAGTCACCCGCATGGTGCTGCCACCACAGAGACACAGTAAGTTTGTTTCTCACTCACATAAAAGTGAGCCACTCATTTTTAGAGCAAAGAACATCAGATTTTGATTAAGTTTAATCAATAGACAAATGAGACCCTCTACTTATTAAAAGAAAGGAACAGCTATTAAACAGTGTCAAGGCAGTAACTTCTGAGCACACAAACAGTTAAAGGAGGAA